ACGCAGCGCGTAGCAAGTAATAATACGGTACGCGGCGAGGCGGCTACGGACGCTGAGGAATTATGAAATTACCGCAATTTTTCGTCGCACAATGTCTTTTTATTAGCGCAATGCGCCTCGGCTAGCTCAATTTATTTCTATTCTCTAAACTCTGCATTCCAATTGGAACCTTACGTCTAGGGAATAGAATACATTTGCGTTTGTAGTTCTGCCGCCGCACTCGCCACGTATGCGTAATTGCTTGTCATTACAGCGCCATTGTAGTGGAGAGCGGCGCGCCGGAAATTGGCGGCGATTACGCGGGAAAAAATTAAAAGTGTAACCTCCTTCCCCGCACCCTACGTTCTTTTTCTAAGTGACCGCACTTGATGCCTTCGAACTTCAAAATCGGATAACACAATCTCGAGGTATAACATTGTGTTGTTTGTTCGCAGGTCTGGTTCCAGAACCGACGCGCGAAGTGGCGCAAGCGGGAGAAGGCACTGGGTCGCGAGCACGCGCCCTTCCTGCACCACGAACACGGTTAGTGCCTCCTGACTCCACCTCTACAGTACCCACATAATCTGCTGGTTACTACGTACTTAAATAGCAATAGGATCAAAGAAAAGCGACAGATGTGTGCTGAGGTGGTCGCATATAAGTCGTTCATCACATTCTGTGACACAATTATTTTTTTACTTTGCTATATTTGAGAAACAATTAGAATCTAAAATAACTTAGTAAATCGTTCCCGTAATGTTAACGGCCATCGCCGTCACCTGTCATTAGGCGGTGCGTGTGTTAAGTGACACGAACATACGACCAGCGAGGCGGCGGTCGCTAAACGGGCGTGATTGAGTCGATATTTTTCCCGAATCGCCCTCCATTAGCGCAGCGACACCGTGTCCACTAATGAAACATGTACACCGACACTATGTTTATCTGCCGACAATCAAATATCATTTACGGATTGTATTGTCGGTGTGGCGTCGCCTTTATTGTTGATTATTGAACTGAATGGTTAAAACGAGATATTTTCAAAATTAAATTTTACATATCAGGTATATTAAATCTTGTTTTAAGCATTCTTCAATGAATCAAAGATGTTAGTACAATTTTCAAAGAAGTTTTTACAATGGAATCTCAAGAAAACATATGTAGGCTAGGTTACATACAATTACACGTTAACATTGAAAAGCTATGATTTCAAAACAAGCTGTGTCATACAACTCAATGTCTTATATTGTTTGTGATCTAACTTCACTGCGAACACGATAACTACACGACACCGACACGACACTAAACACGCTATTTAATGTAAAGCTTTCCAATAATTGGTACACCAATATCAGTAACCTGTTATTTAAAAGTGATTACTGTAAAACGAATTCGATAGAAAAATAGATAAAGTCCGAGGCAGACTAAATGGGGATATAATGACTGAGTTGCGCGACGCCGCAAATAGAGAGAGGCGAATTAAGTGCGGTACTTACACAAGTACACAAACTGCCTGTGTACAAACATACTTGACAGTTTAACAGACAACTTTAACATCTTCACACTGTAGGGCCGGCTCGTCCGCTGTAATACCACGACCAACCAACCAACCATCTAGTTGTTAAGTATTCAAGGCAATTTCGACTTGCGTATCCTTAGTATGCAATTAAATTTCATTTTCATTTTTCTAACGATCCCCAATTTCCTATTTCTGCTTTTGGTAACTTTATGCTATTTTTGGATGTCAATAATAATATATGTCGAATATGATTATTATTTTAAACACTGATATACTACATTATAGCAGTAACACAAGAGAGGGTGACAGGTGACAGGTGAGGCGTGCACAAGCGCTGCGTTGTGTCCTCTATCGCTATCACCCACCGCCCGCGGCCGCACTCGCGCCTC